ACACACACACACACACACACACACACACACACACACACACACACACACACACACACACACACACACACACTGAGATGAGACAGTTCCAAGAGGAACAACCCAATCAATACTGTTTCGATAAAAAAGAAACAGTCTCTCTTTAAGTCATGATTCCTGTTGTTCTTTGCAGTGAGAAGAGAACATATCCACTCTATCAAACAGCAGATCTAGTTTTAAAGAAAGCATCTGTATCTTACAGTGGGGTTGAAGGTGAGTGTGACGTGCTTGTGGTAGCCGGTGGAGGTGAAGGAGACCTGGGGCAGAGTGAAGTCGTACTGGGAGCGGGACAGCGTGGAGTACAGCATCAGAACATAGGTCTGGAGAAGACAGAGAGAGCTGACTGTAGATCTAACAGCAGCATGTCCTGGGTCATGGTTATGTCTGACGCAGTTGATACATTTAGTGAAATATAAAAACATATTAAGACATTTTACAACCACTTACAACAACTGAATAATGTAGACAAGAAAATCTGACTTTTGGTTTTATGAGTATGAGCATTTTGTTGTAGCCTCAATTCAGACTAAAGAGTGGGATTACAAGCTGATACCTCTCCATCTCTGTCCAGAGGAGGGAAGTGGAAGAAGAGGGACTGTCCCAGTGAGACGCTGTTGATTGGATTGTCCAGATTGTCGCTCCTATACAGCTTCACCTGGACAGATCCAAAAGAGGGTAAATAGCTGCCAAGTGACCATCGTAAGGGGAGATGCAGCGATAACATGAGTCAAGCAGTCGTACCGATAGTGTTGGGAGATGTTCCGGGGACGTGATGACGTTTCCGCTGAGGTCAAACTGATTGATCTGTCTGAAGGCGATGATGTTGATCCCTTCAATGTCACTACTGCCAACCTGAGAATTAACACACCAATCTTACTGTACAGATACAACCTTGAACTACTGAAGAAAATACCAACTCTGGATAAAAGCTTTGTACAAGTCACACGGTGTGATAATAACAGAGAATTAAGTGGAATTAAGGCATTTCCAGTCTTGCCAGAGAGATTAGGGGGCCTGCACTTTTCAGGCAAGCTAAAATTATGAACCGAGAGGTTTAAACTTGCAATGGGATTATCGCTGCTTTTGTTCTGCGTATAGAAAAGGACCCATGTGATAAGGCTGCTGATAAGTCATAATCACAGGGTTCCCACAGTCATTTCAACAATTCAATTACAAAAGTTTTCCATACCTTCGGATCTAGTTTTCATTACTGTGTTACTGCAGTGCAAAGCATAAAGGAAAATGACTATGACAGTGAAAATATGTTAATGCAAAGGTTCAATGTTCATTCTTAAATCTTGGAAACAGCAGCTGAAAAAACAAACTCACAACAAGGTGTATTTAGTAGCTGTTCTGGAGCTTTTGATCGAAACACAGTGGTCAACATCAAAAATGAACTATGACCCGGGGCTTTAAAGCCAACATGGAGGAGACTTCCTTAAAGTGAAAATCTTCTTATGAAGATCACATGCTGTGATCAATAGCTCCTGAACAGCTACTAAATGGACTCTTCATTATGGCAATTTAATACTGTTAAAAATAAAGTTAAAGAAAAATTCCCAAGTGTTTGTTTTGTACAACATGTAATCTGACAACAAATAATTATTGAATAATCCCGCCATTGTTTACTCTGTTAAATTAAAAAAGGTGTGTGTGTGTGTGTGTGTGTTAACAATTGAGAAACTGAGACAGAAACCGTAGTTCAAACGTCCGTCTTGTGTTGTGATACCAGACGACATTTCACAACTAACACTATGACACATGTAAATCACTAAATTATTATTCTATTTGATGTTAGGACAGGCACCTATTTCAATGTTTTCCAACTGCGTGTGTCACCTTACTATTTCGGTCCAACCATTAGTTCATGATGGAGAATAACCCTGACATTGCAGAGCCCCCTCCTCCCTCCCTCCCTCCCCCCGAGCACATTCAAGTCAGCAGTGTGGGAACATTTTGATTATCCCCCCCACCTCCAAAAACACAAAACAAAAGAAAAAAATGAGGTTGTTCTTATTTAACCGCTTAACTGTTGACCGACGATAAGAATTCTGACTGATTAATACCATTGGTTAAATCAGTTAAATCAGCTCCATCTGAGCTAACAGTTGCTTATAGTTTCTTGAATTTTCCAAAAGCTGGACGACTGTTACCACATCTGGAAAACTGTGTGGACCAGGGGAAGCCTGCAATAATTTTGTTGCTTACCTCTATAGCTCTGTGTTGTGGTAGAGCCCTCTCTATGTGGTCGTTGCCTTCAGCGCGCAGCTGAATCAGATACTTGCAACCCGGCTGTAAGAAAACATTCAGTAATTCAGTCATTTACGATTTACTAGGTAAACCATTTCAGAGATTCAATATGCTTGCTGTGTATAGTTATTCATGCGGTGCCAAATGCAGCTTACTCAAGGTTTTTTTACCAGACGGGTTTCTAGCATCCTTACCAGCAGACCCCTGAGTCTGAAGCGGCCCTCCTCATCAGTGACTGTGTCCTCGCTGTAGATGCTGCACTCTCCCTGACCCACCGCCTCCACGGCAACATCCCGCTCTGCATCCCCGCTCAGAGACTGCACCGCTCCGTAGCAGCTGAGGACAAGGGCACAAGACCATGACACTGATAAGACACGTGTGGAAAGGACATTTCTGGATTCAACAAACAGCAGGTAAGTACCGGCACTGCGCAAAAAAGGAGTCTGATTGGCCTGCAGCATAACAATGAGCCCAGACATACAGCCAGAGTCAAAAAGAACTATCTTCAGAGACATTAAGAACAAGGAGTCGTGCAACAGATGGTCTGTCCCCCACAGAGCCCTGATCTCAACATCATGGAGTCAGTCTGGGACCACTTGAAGAGACAGAAGACACTGAGACAGACTAAACCCACAGACGAACTGTGACTCAAGACCTAAATACCAAACACTTTAAACTGTGCACAGGTGTCCCGGGGAGAACTGCTGCTGTTTTTAAGGCAAAGAGTTGTCACACCGAATACTGAATAGATTTTTAAGTGTTTACTCCACTTTGTATGAAGTTAACTGATGAATAAAAACCATTTTCTGGCATTATCTTTGAAAGCATCCTCACTTTACTTTTAGTGCCTAAACCCTTTGCACACTACTGTACATTACAGTGACACACTGTAGATGTTGAGACAGACATGTTTACACTTGGAGGCCAAACTAAACAGAAAATGACCGTTCAATGTACATTTGTGTACCTGTATGCAGTCTTAATGCCAGTTATATCGATACTGAGGTTTTGACCTTCCTCCACTGTGATCATCTGAGACGCCGGCTCAAAGCGGAACTCCTTCATCATGGGCTTGAAGTAGTACTGACCAGGACTCTGAGGAGACGAAAGCAGAGACGAAAGCAGTGATTATGTTGAATAAAGAGCAGAAAATATTAACGTCAGCTAGAGAACAAAGGTCAAAGCATCCCTACAATCTGCTTTACAGCTTGGTGGACTGACATCTTACAGCTTAAGTACAATGGTGAAACCAAATGAACAAACTGCTGGATCCCTACCAGGTTATTAAAGGTGAGCAGGCCAGTGTCCTGGGTCAAAAGGTTGGAACGAAACTGTCCTCCACTCAGAGAGAGAAGGACGCCTGACAGGGGCTGACCTTCCTCTGATTTGATCTATTGAAAGAAGGGAAAAAGAGGTAGAGAACAGGTTACAGATCTCATGATTTGACAACTAATGGATTGATTTCACTTCTCTTTCAGCTGCATATTAAACCACACGAGGTCAAACATGTCCAATTTTGAGTAATAGAAATTGCACATATTTGAAATAACTTATAACTGTGGCTGAACTGGGAGGTAAGTGATTAAACTCTTCCAGTATTTTCAAAATAAAAGACGATGTGGATTGAATGTCTGTTGCAATGAAAACAAACTCACACAGGCAATTCTTGAAAATCATGAAATTAGTCAGTTGTGGTTCAAATTGTCAGAGCCATACTGTGAAACAGTGCACATAATCAGGCTGACAGGTGAGTTCAGTCTCTCTTAGTGTTCTATTTCAGGGAGGATTTACAAAAGAAGGATAAACAAGGACACAAAACTCTTTATAAATGCCGTACAGAAGATTTCAAAGCAATTTATCCGACAGTCTGAAAGGGAAAGCGACAATGATCCTTTGTGCCAGGATCTCATGGTCACTGTACATAATTGCAGACCCTTAAAAAAAAAAAGAAGCAGTACAAAGGCGAGGCACTGACAGCACACAGCAAAGCAGAAAACTGATTCAACTATCATCAGTGAGATTTTCTTTTCAATTATATTTTATGAAAACATACTAACAAGGGCTTTTCATCAAGTTATTTCATATTCACTTTAAAGCACATAATCAGTGAGAGTAGTAAATGAGAACAAAGGGCTTTAATTGTCAGATACTCCGGGTGAAGAGTGTCAGCTATGTACCGCTTTTACTGATGTAAAAAAATGGCGGTGAATACTGGGATGTAAAATGCATTCAAGTGAGAGGGGTGGCCACTTGTACCTTGAAGGTGACACCAGCCAGAGCGAACGCCTTGAAATCTCCCTGGGTTCCCTCCACTGGACTCAGGACGAAACCTTCTTTACTGGCACTGATGTCGTACTGCCGGTCGCTGTGAAGGGGACCCACACTGGAGAGAACGAGAGGAGAAATAAGGTGGTTGCATGTTTCATAGTATGCGTCATGCGGTTACTATACTAGCCCACACGTAATACAGAAAGACATACATATAATAATGGCAGATAACAGTTCAGAATTCCATCCAATGTAAAACAAAAACAACTTTTTGGTAAGAAAATACCACCCACAAAAAGGCATTGCTACACATTAACTGGATAATGTTGACTCTGACATTTAAAAGTCAACCCGAAACTACATGAGGAGAATTATTTTTTTGTGCAGGTCTCAATGAAACTGCTGACAAACCCTCCAGAGACCCAACACCTTCAGAGGATCCTCCAGAGGGCAGAATGTGAAGCGAAACTACTGCCACTCCATTTTGACATCTAAAATTGCACCTACACAAACTGTCATGTGGGCAACAGTAATGTCAAATAAATATTTATAGTGCAACTATCATTCTTTGTCTTACTTCTATTTGGTAGATAATCAACTTTTGACAACAACAGAAAGTAAAATGTTGCCATGGAGTCAGTTAGCTGTGGGCAACAACTTGTTTCCCATATTTTTAGTAGACATCTGTTTACATTTTAGCAAATTCACACCATTAAAAGTATGCGGAACTAGCTATTAGCTGTTCCTGTTTGCAGTGCACCCATGGACGTGCAGACAACTATCACTGAACTACTTGGACACGGAAGAAAACTTTAAAATGTGATGATTCTCGGGCAAGTTTCCGGAGTTGTAAGGAGAATCTTTTTTTCCTATGATTTCTAAGTGGATTTATTGATGTTTCGCGAAAGACATCAGATTTAACTGTATCCTCGGTAAGTGTAGGTCAGTCACACTGAGTCTGAAATGATATGTATTCATGTCTCTAGAAACGGCTCGTCTGCATGTAAAACAACATCTGTGTGACCACTGGAGAAGATCAACTCAGCAAGCTTTAATAAATATAATAAACAGTGGAAGTCAAAAGCTTCAATATAATTTTCATTCCACAGACGGCACTGACGCAGCTCTTCATGTATTAAAATCTCTCAGCCTTTTCACTCTTGTGTGCGGCTTCTGACAGTGTTTACCATGAGGCCAGTTGGTCTCTCTGGCACAAATTGTGATTTAATTATCCATTTGGCTGACCACCTCTAACAGAAGCTTCTAAAACCCATTTCAACTATCTGGGCCTGACTAGCAAGCTATATTAGAGCCAGAGTTTTAACAAGAACCCAGACGTTGCTGCCGTTTCAACACTCCTTTTGGCCTTAATGTATTTATGGATCTGCCAGTTAGTCTATAATGACCAGCTAAGCACATACATTTATAGCAGAACCCAAAGATAGACATTACCATCACCATTAGTAAGCACTCTGGAATATCCTACCTCTAGTCTCATGCACTTTATTTTTTATCTCAAATTCGAAGTGCTAGGTTCTCATACCTGTATGCTCCCATCTCATTAGTGGCAACAGTAATGAGCGGAGAAGCAGCTCCTCTTTCACTGATGGAGATCTCTACACCCTGGAGCTCTGGTGACACCTTGCCCTCCAGGAACAGACCCGCACGCCCAGTGATGTCCACCAGCCGACCTGGACAGGACTCTGTCAACAGGGAGAGGTTTATTACTTTTTAGGAAGCTTGTTTAGCATGCTACAGAATTAGGGGAAATTTATTGTTTGCATTGTTTTTTCTCCTGATTCTCTACACAACCAATTAAGATGGAGTTAAAATATTCTAAGCACAAGGGTACACACTTCTGTAAAGAAAGAAAGACCTAAGAAGCAGCTATAACAAGGACAAATAGACATAATACAGTTGTTAGACTACAATGTGTGTGATGGATTTTACCTCCAGTGATAGTGGCCTCTACCTCAGGTGGGTAGAACAGCAGCTCCTTGGAGGAGGGAGTCACTGTGATCTTCTCTCCAGCCCTGCACAGTCATGTACAGTAAATATTAACTCGTTGCATCAATACATGGATTCAAGACTGAATGAGATTCTCATACTTGATGCCTTTTATGCTCTATGTAAAGCACTTTGAATTGCCTTGTTGTTGAAATGTGCTATACAAATAAACTTGCCTTGCCTTACTTGGTGTCTAATCATCACCATGCCAAACTCAAACCGAATCAAAACGTGATTACCCAGGAACGAAGTTAAAAGGATTAAACTGAAGAGCCGTAAAACAAACCTATAGGATTGTTATGTTACAGGTGGGAACCCTGTGTCTCTGTGTTTAGGAACATTGCAGGTAAAGAAAAAACTATAAGAGAAATTTAGTGAGCAACATGCCTTCAAAGCCAGCAGTTGATCCCACTTCAAAATGCTATAAGACATTGAGCACATTCCGGATCTTGCAGTGTTGCAATCCTTACTTTGTCATGTCGTAAAGAGCAAAGATGATAAATTAAAGCGCAGCAACTGACCTGGCCCAGTAGGAGAACTCATAGTGGAACGGGCCTGTCAGCTCATCAGCCTTCTCTTGGATTGGAGGGCTATCTTCCCTGGCACCTCCGTCCTCTTCGGCAGCACGGCGCTCCCGCTCTTGGCGCCGAAGTTGAATCTCTTGCAGCTGCTGCTCCTGCCGCTGCTCCTCCAGGCTCCGCAGGGGACCCAGCACCAGCGCCGGCTCGCTCTCGATGGACGATCTGACCGAGGAGAGGGTCGGGGGGAAAAAAAAACCAAACAAAAAAACAAAACATTTAAGCTCGTCATTTAAACTGATGCTCAGCGGCGAATGTTAGTGAATCCCAGAGTTTGCTAAAAACGAGCCCAGCCGTGACGAGTCTTACTTGATGGTAACTGTGACATCTAGAATCTTGTCAGTGGTGATGAGCCCGGTCATGTGATGGCGCACTGCAGTGAGGGTCAGGATACTGGGGGCCGAGCTGTTAGACACGGGTCATTGCTTAATTGAATTGTATACAGGGAGAACACTTTTTTTTAACCCAGAAATAAACGGGCACAGCATCTGATTACTTACGTATCGTAGGTGTAGAAGTCCTGCTCAAACTGATGGCAGGAGCGTGGGGTGACTTTGTAAACACCTGGACAAGCCATTTTTAGTTGATTAATTACTTTGCTCCAGTTTTATATTTAGCTAAGTCTGACGCAGAACTTTTGGCTCAAAACACTGTGCTCTAACTATACACAAGGGAACAGTTGGTACACTGATATTTTCTTTTCTCAATACGCTAATTCACACTATGTTTAGCTAATGAGAGGTCGTGAGAATGAACCTCACCGGGCTTGGAGAGGCAGAAGCGGTTGACTCCCTTTGAGAGGTTGTACATGCCGACGTTCTCGGGTTTGCTGCCATCCTGGAAGAACTCCTGTGCAGAAAAACGAACGCAGTCAGAATGTGAGTAATGCGTGTGGACGTGCCACCAACTGTAACGACACACACACCAGGTACTGCTAACGAAGTCAGGTATCGGTGACTAACCAAAGTGATGGCATGGGAGAGGGAGCAGCGCAGGATGTAGCCAATCTGTCTGAACTCCACCCCCAAGACGTCAGAGTCCAGAACTTCCACTTCCATGGACTTATGCTTCCAGCACCACTCCTCATGAGAAATACTCACTGAGAGGCAAAAAAAAAAAATGAATACACTCAAATTAAAAGTAACAGACAAACAAATGTGTTAATAGTTGTTGAAAAGGAGTAAATCTGTCACCCTGGCCTAAAAAGATAAAACCTCAGATGCCATGATCACTTGAAGCTGAAGCGTTCCACTTAACGATCTTATAATTATCTCATCTTTAAACAAAATGTTTAAGAAAGTAAACTTCTTACACTACTCTGGCCTGGCAACACAACAAGCTGAGTAAACGTGCCTGGAAGATGCTGTGTGTGCACATAGCTTGCAGACACACAAACAGATTGTGTGTATTGAGCAGTGAGGGAGATAGATGCAGCACCAGAAGGTACAGAAACACCGGCTGAATAATGTGCGCTTCCAAAAAGCTGCTGCTAAACACCAGTTATGATGAAAGGACTGTAATTACTAATTGATCTCCCCCACAATCGTTAAGAGAATAATTACTGAGATTCCTTGATGGATTCTCAAACGCAGGTAGGATGGAGGGATCCGTTATGTACTACACTTGCTTTGACATTTTCCAGTCAAAACCTGTGTGCTGACTTTGCAATCAGGCTCCACGTAAGTGCTGAGGCACTTCTCCAAGTGCCAAAAATGCACTACTATCTGGTTTGTAATTGCTCTAATCAACCCTGAATATTAATATTATTATTATAAAGAATGAAAAGTATTCTTAGCAGTAGCCCTCACCTTTGTATTTCCCAGGTAGAACGTTGTCAAAGGAGAAGCTGAGGATATCGTTGCTGCCAGACAGAGCCACTGTCCTTCTCTCCCCCTGCCGACTCACTGGTTGCAGGGTTACTGAGAGGTCATCGCAGGACGCTAGAGGTCAACCAGAGGACATGAGGTCAGCTTGTGCGAAGAAATAACAACCACACAATTCAATACTCTTGTAGGCTGAAGCTGAGTCAGGTCCCGCATCTCCTCCTACATCATCTTCTTTGCTCTCTTTATATGACAAGTTACTCGACATTTTGAAAAAAAAAAATCATTTTAAAGATGAGACAAGCCAAGCCATATATGACTAAGTGCTTACCAAGACAGTAGACTTTTCCAGAGACAGAAGCCATGAATTGTGTGAAAAGGAGGTCTGTGAGGGGCCGGTCCACCAGGGAGACCTCCAGGGCTTGAGGCTGCAGAGCCAGGCCGGCTTTCACCTCCGCCTCAGGGAGAGACACCTGAACACATGGAAGTGAAACCAAAGTTATAATGTAGAACGCCAAGTGACTGTTACACTATATGCACACTTTAATTAGTTACATCTCTGCCAATACAACTGAAAACCAATTAGTACAACAGTAATAACTACTGGATGTAAGTATTATCAAGTCTTACATGGACGCTGTAGTCTCCGGGTTTGGCATGGAAGCAGAAGGCCCCCTGAGGGTCAGAGTCGACAGTGCGGCTGGAGGCTTTGTCTTGGCCCATGTGTGTCAGCGTGACCTTGTAGCGACCCTGCTGCTTCATGCCCTCAGGCAGGTGGCTGATGGAGATCTGGCCGCACACACTGAACCTGGGATGAGGCCAACATCAGAACTTTATAAGACTTGTCAGCAATGAGGCAATATGAAACAGCAAACAGCAAACTTTTCCGTACATAATTTCAAAACGTGTACAACCGAAACATGCATGTATGCAGCTAAAGCAGGAAGTGCGCAGGCCTGACGTACCCTGCTGTGATGATGTCAGGAAGTTGTGGCGTATTGGGGGCAATCTTCACCGTGACCGGCTCAAAGAACATGAGCTCCTTGTTGACACGGATGGTGTAGGTACCAGCTGTCATGTTCTCCAACCGGAAAGAACCATCCTCCTTGCTGACGACTGTGGGGACAGAGAGGCAAAGCAAGCAAGTGTGAAAAAACGTGTTCACAATGAGAACCACCGAGCGCACTTCCGCAATTTTTAGGTCATCTGTCTGAAAAGTGTCTTCTAGTACGCTCACCTTTGATCTGGTTGTTGAGGGACACCGTAGCATCAGATACACCCTCCCCACCGAGGCTGTTGAGAACTCGGCCTGTCACGGAGAAGCCCATGACTCGAAAGATGGGCTACACGTGGAGCGACAGAAACAGCAGAGCATGTCAAGGTGATGTACCACACCCACAATGAAACAAACACAACAACACTGATAAATAGAGATTTAATTCAAGTCTTTACCTCTAGTTTCAAACTGTTGTGTTCAACCTTGAAATTCATCCGAGATGGAGCGACATCAAAAGTGATCCTCTCTCCTCTGTAGAAAGGCACCTGATGTGAAGAATTTCACAAACAGAATTAAAGGGAAAATAATTATGTTTGCATGAAAAAGAAAGAGAGAGAGGCAGAGTCATTCTCAACGCAGTGTGCAGGATGAAGCTCGTGAAATCAAATCCCATTTTTGTTACTATTCAAAGCCAGTGTTTTTCCTGCAATAGCCATTTCCATGTTTTACATTCAGTTGTTATCTCTCTATATACCAGTGTTCAGTGGTAGCGGCAGAGTTGCTGGATTCAAACTGAATTCAAACCTATGAGAAACATGTGACAGCATGATGTAGTGACGTCCTTTGACAGGCTTATGTGGTAAATTCAAGTGAAATGCTAAAGTGAACTCAATGAAATACTGACAAAAAGACCTTTCTAAGCATGAGGGACTCACAGGAAACTATGCGTGTGAGCACCCTTACCACAGTGTACTCTCCACTGGCCAGAGAGGGGAAGAGGAAGGTGCCATCTTCCCTTGACAGAGCGCTGCACAGGTAAACCAGGGAGCTGTCCCCAGAATCTGCCCCCTCCACCGGAGATGTGTTACAGCCATTGACGTCCTTCAAATCACAACAAACACACACAAAGATTGAGAAAACCAACTATTATTATTGCTGAAAATGCCCATGAAGGGCATTTTCTATAAAAATACTATAACAAAGTCAAAGTCACTTAAAAAAAAAAAAGTTTTGATTTTGATATTCCCAGACTTCTGCTGAGAAAAAAAATCCTGACTTTGTCTTGAAACACACTAAATTCTATGATATTAGAGAAATCCCATGAGCAGTACAACTTCTTTTAAAGCATTAACTGCAATATGGTAATTTCCTTCAAATAATCAAGGCTAGACTACACAATCAGTACGATTACTTGTGAATTAATGTTGGTTTACCTCTCTCTTGACTGTGGCTGAGTACAGTAGAAAGGTGACCTCTTTCATGGGCTCTCCATCACTGCGGACCTCCCCCGAGACATCGTAGCCTCCAACCACCAGATGGTCGGTGGCCGGGGCATTGGCGTTGGAGACGTGCACCGAGGTAGTACTCTGTCGGAGGACGGCAAAGGTCGCCACGTAAGTTACAGAGAGGGTCGGAATAATGACCCTGTCAGGAGCAGTGTGATTACTGCTGGAGATCATTAGATAGAAACCTGCTAACCTGACAGGGAACCTTATCAGCTGAGCGAGTTGGTGAATAATGAAGTTGTCTACACTCGAGTGGTACCAAAATTAAAAAACACCTCTGAGATCGTGCCTTCTCTACAGCGCTGACACTTCCAAGACAGCCAACGGTGATATTGTGATACCCCAGCAGTGCGTACACACTATGGGGGTGAAAATGATGTCTCACACACACGGGTCTGATCTTACTATCACTTTAAATCATTAGTTACAAACTCGCTGAGCGGTCCCACCTCACCTCAAAAGCCCATTGATGTATAGAGAGGGTCTTAATCCATCTTTCTAAATCATCATAGTGGGGTACTTGTGGGTGACATCTGTGGATAAAAATCTTTATTTTCTCTTAACCTTTTAAAGTACACCATCCCACAGCGCTGACAAATTATACATTGACTCCTGACCCCTTTATCACTGCAACAGCTGTTGAAACAGAAGTGGTACAGGCATGTGGCTATAGCTCCAAAGTGTTTTCCCATAAAAAAAAAAAGGTGCTACCTACAGGACTTACACTCTCTTTTTCATAACAAAAAAAGGTGAGGCAAAAAAAAAAAAAAAAGCTTACATTTCTACCATGTTTGCGCCTGTACGATTTTGGTTCAGTATCTCTTATTCTTATTCTGACTTTTTGGATGTAAAATTTTGAGAGTTGCCATTCAAAGGAGACCAGGGTTATGACTATAATCAAAAGGGTTGAAGGAAAAAGGTAAACAATATTTTCCACATATGTTTGGGTCACAAATAACTATGTTCACTTCACTTGAGTGTCACCTGAAGCAAAATATATATATATATTTTTTCTATTAAGAATTTACCAAAGCCTAAACCTATAGGTTTTCATTGATGAATGGTTGCTAGAATTACAGATTAACTTCACAGCTCCACTCCATTGTTCATATTTGGATTCTAAAACTCCAGTAAACAACTAAACTGACAGGAAGCATACATAGCTCCAACAACATCCACGGTTCAACTCCCGGTCGAGGGACTTTTGTAGCATGTCAAACCCAAGGCGAATATACCGACCTGCTCCAGAGTCCAAGAGGGATGGGAAGCTGTGATGTCATAATTTCCAGGGAGTACTTTGAAGAAGGTATACCTGTGTTGGCAAATCCAAACAAAGGAAAGGTCGTGAAACAGCACACTATTTCAAACATACATTTACTGCAGGATCACCTGTGCACCTCCACTGAACAGAAAGGTACGAGCCACTTACTTTCCTCCAGACTGTGTGATGACACTCTGGAGTTTCTCCTCTGTTCCCGCTCGGCTCAGTTTGACTTCTACTCCTGCCGGACCCAGGAGATGGCCCTTACTCAGAACCTGAGCCAGACACAGCACATTATGAGGGAAAAACATGATACAATAGTAAGAAATATTTTGTGATATGAAGCAATTCCTTGACAGATACTTTTCCAAGAAAATTCTTGTAGAAGCTTGTCTTTGGCGTACAAATAACTGCAAAATTATCCACACACAAAAACCTGATGCATGTGTGAGGGACTGAACCTCACTCTGTCGTACACTGGAGCAAGTTTTCACCATGCATAAAGCTGCAAGACTTTAGGGTCTCCAAGTTAAGATAATTGCATTCATGAGGGAGGAAATTCCGAATCCATCTCACCGTTCCTGAGACTGAAAAGCCAGTGAAAACAAAGTTGATGTCTTCCTCTTTGGTACAGATGTCACTAACTCCATCCACATGGAGGTCGACACTGGTGGGCTCTGGTGAGAGTTCACATCAGAGAACAAAAGACATAAAAGCTAGTACATGGATAATGCAAACCGCTAAGATTTTGCAGCAGTTGGCATTATTACCTCTGCCAAGGATGTTACCTTTTCAGCTGTGTCTGTTTATTTGTCAGCAGGATTACACAAAAAGTAATGAACCAATTTGCACCAAACTTGGTGGAGGGATAAGGCATGGTCCATGGAAGAACCCATTTAACTTTGGTACCGATCCAATTAAAGGGGCAGAGGAATGGAATTTGTTCAAAAATCAGACATATTTATGTTGTTTAGATCTATGACTTTGTACAATCTTGACACGGATCCAGATTATCATCTGACAGCTTTGGCAGAGGTGTGCATTCTGCTGAGTGCCATTCTAGTTAATAGTTTGTGAATTAAGCTGCAAGTCTTACCAAAGCTCCACCCAAGAGGAGGCTCAATCTTCAAAACAAAGTCTCCCTGTAAAAACAATAAATCAGAGAAATTTAAATCATCATCAATGAAAAACTGAGTGTATAAGTAGTTGAATTAGTATTCCCCATACCTTGTCATAGAGCGGGATCATGAAGTAGCCATTGATTGGAGCACAATCAGTTTGATATTTCAAGGAACCTTGTTTAGTGTACAGTTTAATCTGTGCATGAAAGAAAACACAAAGTATATTTAGAATTATTCATTAAGTATATCAATAATTACTTAACCTGAACTGTTCATTGCTGTAAGGCCAGTCTCTTAGGCTTGATTAGTAAGTTAAATGGGAACACTGGTTGAATATCCAGTATCACCTGTTATCAGCAAACAAACCAGTCTATCTGGGATTAAATTCATTTCACTAATCAGTCAAATGGCTAATCCCACGGATCCTGTCAGTGAGCAGGGATTAGGACTGGTGACCAGCATTTAACGTCTTCCTCATCAACACTGACAGGTTTTAAGTTTAACAGGGAGTAATTATGTGTAACACAAACATATTAATGCAATTTCAGATATAACCTCACTCACTCAGCCGTGACTACGTACAGAAAACACCCAAATTAGCTAAATAGCAGAAAGCTACAATGACGTCTAATTACATTAACCCCCCTACTTTATGTTTGTTAGCGACAGAGAGTTAACTCTACGTTAAATATACTGATTTTATGGCCGTTTCATTCAAACTGTCATTCAAGTAAACCTCCTGTCTCCGCCTAACCTTTAGCTTACTACGATAAACCAGCTAACTGTTAGCTAGCAGCTAGCCGGGACGTTTGAACTCTCACCTCGATCAGAGAGTAGTTGATTTCAACGTCGGACTTCACAAACCCGCCGCACGCCACCACTATGTCATCAGAGGACACGGTCAAGAACTGAGAATATATTATACAGAATAACACCCAGAGGGATCCCATGTCAGCCCGGATCGTAATTCTAAACATTTTGGCAGAGTGAGCCGAGCCACAGCACGCTGCCTCCGGTTCCGTACCAGCTGAGCTGCTGCTGTCACTGACCGAGCAAAGACCCTGACGGCGGCAGCGACCTCTGCTGGGCCGGAGGTACTATAACCTGAGAATAGTGACTACAGTGATTAGATAGATAGATAGATACAGTAGATAGATAGATAGATAGATAGATAGATAGATAGATAGATAGATACTTTATGATGGTAGGTAAGAAAAGAGAAAATCAAAAGCAACAAAATGATTCAACTAATTTATTTATTTAATACTAATATTTATTTTTCATGTAAAAAGTTCAATATTTAGAGCAGCCACTTAAAACGTACCTTACATAAAAACAGCATATTTACCCAAAATATGACAAACAGTATTCATGGTTCTAACATACCTACCACCCAAGAGTTATTTTAAAGTTAAAAAAATTGAGTAACATTACTGTTAAAGAGAACATGGTTAGAGTTTAGGGTTAGTATGATACTGTGTCTCTGAATTATCATGTAACCTCAGAGCAAATAATAATGATATAAATGTCAGATTTTAAAACACACGAGACATACAATGAATGCATAGTACTGACTTAAAACAAGTTCTACAAGTAAGAAAACACTAGTGTTAAATACTTTTAAAGTGCATACAATTCAGAAGGTTTTTTCAAACTCCAGTGGTTATAGTAATGCAAATCCTTCTCAGAAGGACCGAATGACAGACAGAACTTACAGTAAAGAAAAATACCACAAAAAACATCTGATCAGCAACGACTGCTTTGGTTTAAAAATACTTGAACATTGCCGCTTAGTTTTATGATTAGATTGTCAACAAAGGAACACTGAAAAAGCACGATGCATTTATGTCAGCAGGTCCACAGAAACTCCCAAGCTGTAGTGTTTTCGCAATAAAAAAAAAAAAGAGCAGTTAAGATTTTCTGTTTTTCAGTCCCAGTACATTTGTCCAGTCTTGCATCTGGTCTGTAATATTAGGTCTTTGCCTCACACATGTGTGGAGGAGTCTGGAGGCGGGTGTGCCAGGAACACCGCTTCATTGAAATTGTTGGAGAAGCTGGTATGGTAGCAGGGGCTGCTTCTGCTGCTGCGGGGCTGGGATTTGGACGCTGGAGATTTGATCGCTGAGAGCCTCTGGGCCTGGCACAGCTTCTGGATCAGGAAACGTTTGTCACGGCCCTCCTGGAAAACAAAATAACACATTGATAGTAGTTTGTGTAAGAATAAAAATAATAAAGAGGAGATAATAAGAATAAAAATAAGAAAGGAGGTTGACATGATCACAGCACCAAATCTTCTGAAAACATGTATTCTTGAGTAAACCTACCATGGCCAGCTGATCCCTTAGTTGGTTAATAACTCTCTTGTGAGCTCCAGCTAAGGCAATCACATAAAACATGGCCAAACTGCAGAGAAAATGGAAATACTGTTTAAAAATGTAGTCACACAGAAAAAAGTAGGTTGAAAAAATTTGACAGAAACATACCATGTAAAAACAAAGAAGGAGACAGCGAAGGCCTCTGATGAGAGAGCGAAGAGTAGGGTCCGTACTCCATCAGGTAGCTGGGCTACCGTAGTTGGCAGCACCTCCCAGGAGGTGGTGTAATTAACAAATGGTCCACAGGCCTGGGAACAGTTTATTCTGAGCAAAAGGGACAGGTAAATAAGTGTGTTTGCCAAGAGAACGGCAGCAATGAATGACCCTACATCTATTTAGTCACTGACATGCAGGCGACAGATATGAGAAATTTCAAGTCTCCATTTACATCTAACTAAGTGAAATTCATCAGTCAAATATTGACCTCTGATGTCAATACTCCTACTTGAGTTTCTTTTAATACAATTAAAACATAGCATGGTCATTACTCACTGTGCAACACTAACAATGACAGGCAGGCAGGCCAGAGCCAGACCAATCAGCAGCACGCCAAGGAAGAAGAAGTTGGAGCTAGAAGCTCGAAACGGACGTGTGGCTGGTCGGCAGTTATTCATCAATGATACCTATGAATAAAGAGCAGAAAGGTAATAGAACATCAGAAGCTGTATTCCTGATTCTGAACCGTGCAAAAAAGAAATATGGAGGCAAAAATCACCTTTTTGATGTAGAATATAAAGAAGTATTTGATGGTGCAGATGGCAGGCAGCATCGGGCAGTAGAACGTGCCGATCCAGCAGATGGTCTGACCGTAGACGATCTCTAGCACATTCTGAGGAATAGCAAACTCCTGCTGGCCCCACCACTTAGCCAGGCCACACTCACAGTACTTCACTATCAGCCTGGGTAGGACGGGGCAATGCAAGGACACAGTTATTTGTGACTGAAGAACAAAGAATGTGAAAGTGAGAGGACACAGAATAAAATACCACAGCGTTATGTTAGAGGAAGGCTGAAAAATCAATGTTAAATCTATGTCAATGCTCATACAGAGACTAAATACTTCTACAAACACATCAACACCTCTTGAAATGCCTTGTGAGGATCACATTCTGTACATGAGACTAACAGAAGTTTCTACTGAAATGATGAAGTTGATGTTTTTTACTGTGAGGACTTACTTTCGGGGAAACTCCACAAAGATGGTGACTGCGACAATGATGATGAAGTCAAAGACGGTGAGTTTGTACATCTCCTGGCCTACACGGGTTTCCCAACACTGTGGGCAACAGCAAGGACACAGACTTGCCTGTATAAAACTAGTTTAAAGACGGAGTTTATACTGTAATTGCAATGATATACCTGGATGTGTTGAAAACCCAAATGAGTCACAAAGGACTGAATAAATGTAGGGCTCATACCACTGCTGTTACACTCAGTGATGTAATTTAAAGAGGCATAAATGATTAATGTTCTAAAATGAACTATTAATATCATTTAATCAAAATCAATAAGCAGTGGTAGTTAGTGGTGCGCATGTTGACACAGAGATAACAGTGAGTTTGACGCTGGTATCTGCAGATGACTGAAACAAACCATTGTGTGCTGTATTGGAATAAAAGAGAATGACTTACAGAGTAAAGCACGTGGTTATAGCCACAGACGCAGGGCTCCTCTTTACATTTAGTGATCTGAGACCAGAGAGAGAAGAGCAAAACCCCAATACTGGTCAACCGCATGAAGACACACCTGTGAAGACAGGAAGAAAGAAAAAGAGAGAAAGAAGGGGGAAAAACATTCAGCCAGTTTATTCTCAGCTATGAAGCTCAAGTGTTTCAGCTTGTGATTGCAAATATACTATTTTTCCTCATAGTCTTTGTCTCTGAATGCAATTAATTTAAAGTTAACAATAAAAAGCTAGTAAGTGGTTGATAAACAGAGGTCCACTGTACCGCATGAGAGTGAAGCGGATCTCGAAGGCAGGGGAGTAGTCCTCATAATTGATGATAACGGAGAAGAGGAGGGGGGTGATGAAGTTGGCCAGGGTGATAACAATTGAGGGAAGATACTCATTGATCAAATCCACAATGAAATTCACCTGCAAAAACAGCACAAATTACATTGAGAGCAAATACATCTGATGCAGATTAATGTCAGCGCAGAAGGATCTGAGGATGTGAAAGAAATCTCCAGCATCTTATTCCGCCAAATATTTTATGAACTTCAGCAATAACAGTATCAGTCTACATGTATTCATCATTCATCATCATTCATCATCACTTTTGAAATTCAAGGCAAATCTGAAGTTATTCTTTCAAAGGAGTTTCAAAAAGGGTATGAAAGGCTTTATTAACGACTGTATTGTGATAATAATGTGAGAGTTTCAAGTAGAAAAATACAGAAACACAGAAAATGACACACTTGCAACAGAAAGCAACATGTCATTACCTTTGTATTATTCATCTGTGCTTCCTGGGAGAATACGGTGGCTACATAAATGCTGTAGAAGCAACCAGCCAGCACAGCAATGACAAAAAGGTTGAGGATGAGGCGGATGACGTAAATCCGGCACTTCTCTTTGCGGGTGCGATCCTTTATTTTCTGCTTGATCCTCTCTTCTTCCAAATCCGTCTGGGGATTTGCAGTTTTAAAATGAAGCAGGTAAACATTCAATGGAAGCATCGATTATACATTTAGAACATTTGAAACACCTAATATATATACACATAAACAACAATAATATACATATATAACTCATTTCTGAAGAGAGAGTACTGCATCAGTCTACATGGCAGATGAGAGCTTTTTAAAAGGATTCAAACTAAGATATCCAAGAAGATACATAAAGATCTTATTGCCTGGTAACCAATATGTAGATTATAGTAAGAAACTGTCCATAAACTGTCTGTTAACATCACTCAAGCTCAGCCGCTCTAAAAACAGGTTTAATATCTCGATTAAACTGAGCTTCTCTCAGCATGTGAAAAAAGGCCATTGTTGTCCTATCTCTCCTTATGGCTCCTGGCAAATGTTGGTGTATAAACACATCTTGTTCAACAGAATGATCAACCAACCTTGAGCTCATAGAGCAGACTGCTTCTCTTCAGCCTCGCAGCGTTCTCGTTGGTGATGCAGAAGTCCCAGCCGGCAAAGATCTTGTTGCAGAAACTCTGAAAGCGATCCTCATCCTGAACCAGGTTACGTTTGAATCCCGTGGCCGACCTTGAAGAGAGAAAAACACACTCCCTCAAACTGATCGTTCAAATAAATTTCATTCGTAATGATTTGGTCTTTTCAGTACCTTTTAACGATCCAGATGAGACTGAGGAACAGGTACGCCACAGTGGCCAACAGGTATGCCAGAGGCAAATTATAAGTGATGCTTGGAAAGTGGATTTTGTCCACCTTGTAGTAGCCGTAGAAAAGATAGGTCTGTTCCAGAAAGCCCTGCAGATGAAACAGAATTAGTGGAAACCACATGGAAACTACTTTTTCTCCACAGACCATTTAATATAAAGTGCAAGGACCTACTCCACCAGACAGCAGATCTGTAATGTGTTCATGAAAGATCACCAGGCCTCGTCGAGCGCTGCTTGGATACACACTGCAAATGCTGCCTGTGTGGAAACAGTAAATTTTAATCTTAAAACCATTTAATGCTTAGTTTGTAATCCCAGTTGAAAAAAAAAAAAAAATCGGTGTTTTCTCACCATCATTCTGGTTGTAGGTGGTATTCCCTGAAGAATAGGGGGCCATGATGATGGGCAACATGACGAAGCTGAACATGAGCAGAAAGATGATCATGTTGAGCATGACCAGGAAGCGCAGGAAGGAGAAGTAAGACAGGATCCCTGTGCCAAACATCCCTGAAGGAAAGGGAGGCAAAAAGGGAGAACTTAACAACAACAACAACAACAACAACAACAACAGAACCATAGTTGGTACTAAAAGTGTGTTTACTCATTTAGACCATCCTGAACAGAACTCAGTAAATGTCTCTGAAGCTACAGACACAGTTTTCTGGCACTCAGACCGTCTCATTATTCATCTCTCACCCTCTATCAGGTGGATGTCTCCCCTCCAGAGCTGCAGGGAGCTCAGCCATTCTTGGGCATCGTCCTTCAGCCTCCTCAGATTCCTGCGGGTGCTTTGCCTCCACTGTCTCCAGCTGCTGAGCTCTCGAGCCTCCACCAAACGCTGCGTCCTAACAGGTTACACAGCCAAATTCATTGCTTAGTGGACTATATGCAATCTTAGAAATCAGTTATGAATGAAGCAGGCAATAAATAACATTGTATAATTCCAGTAACTTTGAAATTTGAACTGATCTGTTCGACATTGTCTTTCATTTCATTCATTATCTTTCCTACTTGTCTCTGCGTTTCTCAGCCATGGTCTTGGCTAGTTCCCTGATGGGTCTCTGCTCCGTCTGACCCTTCTGCTTCTCCTCTAGTCTGTTGACTGTGTTCACGCCCCATTTCCCACTGCCAGAGGAGCTGAGCCGAGCTCTTGTGCTGCTTCTTCTCTTGGTGCCACCAGTCGACGACTTCCTGCGGTACAGCAGCGACTGGTAGCTGGGGAGCTGGTCCAGCAGTGGGTTACTGGTGACTCTTCCACTGCGATCAGTGTAGAACACTGATGAGGTGAATGAACATGATTAGATCTTACAAAGTTAACGATATGTTTGATCATGTTGCACTCAAGGCTACTGTTAAGTCCATCTATCAAGCACCTACAGTTGTGATATGGTTAAGATGGACACAGTGAAGTGTAATTATCTTTCACTACCAGCCTGGAGGGAATGACTATACAGTATGTTGTCACAGATGCTACAAAGTTAAGGGCAATTCAAACTACAGCTGCAACAACTAGTCAATCAATCAATTAGTTGAACAAAAATAATTAATCAGCAACTATTTTGATCATCGGTTAATTGTTTCAGTCATTTTTAAAGAAAAAAATTAGCTGGTTCCAGCTTCTCAAATGTGAGGATATAATGCCTTTGTTAATCACATAAACTGAATCTCTGCTGGACGAATAACACCAGTAATCTGCAAACATCTCCTTAGCCTGTGAGAAATTCTAACATACATTTTTTTCACTTTTTGTTTACCATTTTCTTTCCAAACAATTAATGAATTAACCAAGAAAATAAGGGGCAGACTAATGGCTAATGAAAACATCCGTTAGCTGCAGCCCTGACTCAAAACCAATATTCAATATCATATCATAATATATGTATGTTTAATATTGGTCAGTGGTCAGCCAGTCATTGCAGTTATACTCATTTTAGTCCAAATCAGGATTTGCCTATTCAATATTCCTGTTTTAAAATTATTCTACATGCCTTGAAATGATTAAATTATTTACACAAAGGATTTTCTTAATAAAAACAGTTGTTAATACAAACTTTTATTATGCTTTAATGTATTCTCTATTCTTTTTAATTTGCAGATATCTCTCTTATTCAGTGTAACGAAGTGACTGCCAGTCAGATGATATCACTGGAGTGGATTATTGTTAGAAAAAGTGTGTTTAAAATGACACTGGGTCCGCAGTTACACACACTATGCAGCCATATGAACTCTCCTGTTACTTATCCTTAGAAACCACCACAAAGGGAAAGAGCTGCTTTGGATGAATTACTAGTTTGCCATACTTGATCACATCAGAGCTGTAACATTAAAACATACAAGAAAGCTTATGACAATAGCCGTACAGGTTTCCAGTGTGGGAAACAAACACTGTTGGAGACTAAAGAAACTTGTCTCCTTTGTATTATATGTGTCCAGTATCCGACAATGGCAAACCAAACAGCAGACTCAGCGAATAAAAATGCCAAGAGCGAAGTTTCAACATGGAAAACAGACTCAGACAGGGAAAAAAAACTAACTCTCTGAACTCTGATATTTGTGCTCTTCCAACGACCTTTTAACAAAGCGTTAAGTAGCAGGTCAAAGTTATTAGCCTGTTGTTAGCGGCGATTTGATCTTAAAGTTGGAGGCTAGCATTACTAGCCTCTTAGCTGATGTTGAAGAAGTAAGGCTAGCTATAGACAAAAGTATCGGACTAACTGCATTGTTTACCTGAGTCGACCTCCATCGCTTCCATTCCACATAGAATAACTTTATCTAATTATTAGATAGTGTTACGATTAGCTAACAATTAATCTAGAAGACTTCGTCAGCTGGGAGTGGAGTGTAAAGCTGTCAGGAAGATAACATTGCCTATCCCAGAAACCACTTCCTGAATGTGGATGCAGCTCCAAGTGCTGCTCTGCGCTCACACTGGCTGTAGTGTATTGAACCTTAACCTGTTTTATTTGATCTTATCTTAATGTTATTAGATATCACTATAATATAATGCATTTGATCACTAATCTCTGGACTATTAAAAAGAAAAAAAACTAGTTGGATACTGTTAATTAAAGAGTAGCTATTCCAACAATTCAGTATTGCACTTTCAGAAACTTGGAAAACTTGAAATATACAGATTAAAATTAATAAATAGATAGATAGATAGATAGATAGATAGATAGATAGATAGATAGATAGATAGATAGATAGATAAATAAATAAATAAATAAATAAGATTTGTCAAAGTTGATGCAGCTGGGACCAAAATAGGTTACCTATAGTTCTGGTTCAAAAAAGGCTGAATTCTATGTAACCCAATACAATATTTCTGGCCTAGTAAATCCCTGTGTCTTTCAAATTCCATACACAAGTGTGTAACACAGGTTTTCTATTATAAATTTTGAAGTCTCACTCTCAGATAGCTGTAATCACATCATCCGGGTTATTTTCTCAGACTTTCTTAAGGACCTCAGAGGACATTTGTTTGTTTGTGTTTTATTAAGAGAAATAAACTAAACTTCTCACATAGAAGCAGTGAACTGCCTCTAATGAAGAGGAAGAGAAGAAATAAGAAGCAAAACTAGGTCAAATCAAGATTAATCAAGATACGGAGAAACAACATATTAAATATAAGTACATTTGAGAATAATCTCTGGCCTTTAATAGTCGTGTAAAACAATAAAATTCCATTTTACAGTGTGTAATTGAATGTTGTTTGCATAAAGGTCCTGTCTCTGACCTTGATATACACTTTGACGAAGGGAATTTCCCATTAGTTAGTGAACAGTGTGACCAATTAAACCAAGCAACCCTTCCCTTTTCTTAGCGCATTGTGGCTTAAAGATACATTAATTATTTATCTGTTCATTAATCATTGTCCTGTCTATCTGTAGACAAGTTCAGTCAGTAAGCACCAACAGAAGTCAGCTCACAGTAGATAACACATGGAATCTTGGACATGCACCTTAAATCCTAATAAAGAAGGCAATTAAATTTTTGCCTTAGGGGTTCAATTATTTTCGTCACAATACAAACTGTCCACATGAGAATTGCCTGGTCTGTTCAGAAGCAGTGGACTTTTACCTTTATGGTTTTCGCACACACTTCCTGGTAGTCACAAAGTCATTCGTTCTCTCTCTCTCTCTCTCTCTCTCTCTCTCTCTCTCTCATTGTGTTTGATTCACAGGTTACTCCTCAGGCTTGGACTGCAAGGACTCAGTCATTGTTCCGCAACTCTTCAAAATATACTCAGGAACTACCTCCATATATTCTCCTCACCATTTTAACACAATTGCCAGGTAAGCAGGGTTTGGTAAATGGGACAGAATGGTTTAATATAATGTAACTAGATTTTTCATCTACGTAATTTATAGCCTACAGTTTATCCTCTCTTAGTCCGCTTGTAGTCCCACTTCGTGAGGTTTTTCAGTCTAACTTCCACTGTTATTTTGTCAGCCTGTAGTTTTCTAAGCATTTTTATTCAGTGGCTGTGTGTGAGAACCACAGAGGTGTGCTACTACATGGGGTAGAAACCAAACCAACTGAATGAATTAATGATGAACAGATGAGGATGGGATCAAGAGATTGAATTACACATGCTTCCCCTTGACAATGTAGCTGTCACTCAGAGTACAGAGAGCCACTTGGCCTCAACATCTGATGCTACTTGTTAAAGTTATATCAAAGTTAACTGAGCTGGCATCTTAAGCCTTGATACAATATGTAATGAAGGCAAACATCTTTCTCATGATATCATAGGAAACACTATTTATACCTTTATGCTTTTGCGTATTCAAATGAGAAAGTGTATTACTGCCACCGGACTTTTACAGACATCAACATACTGAAGAAGGACTGTGACAGAGTGAGCTGAAGGATTGTCGTTGTCTACAAAGGAGAACAAAAGGATCATTCTGAAAAATCTCATGACAAGTTACAGCAGCGGCGGATATTTCAACCCTGCTTACCATGACAGCGAGACTCTGGAAATTGATAGAAGGTTTGTGGTAATATAATAACATAACATAAAGTGCATAATTTATCATGCAAAAAATATTCTTATTTATTATTTATCAAATAATGTGTTTGACTGAGTTCTGTGTTGTTTGTATTATTAACCAGAGAGCGTATACTGTACTGTGAAAGAATGAACAGGATGTCCTTAAGGAACAGACCGCTGTGCGGATCTGATATTTGTCCTAGCTTTATCCCAGGCTGCAAGATTGCTTCAACCAATTTTATTCTTATAAGAAGTTTAAGATCTAAAGACTTGGAAAGTTTACACTTTACACTTCATTAAAAACCTTAGAGAGAAATGCATTAGTCCATTAGTCTCTGATGTTTTCCATTCTTTGCAGGATATTATATCCCTAAAATTACCCACAGGAGAAAAACATCACCTCCATATCTATGACACTTGATTAATTACAGATAATCATGACTTGAAATTTCACTTCCTTTTTTGAATTGTTAACCCCAGTGCTCTTAGATATCATAAACACATACTGTATCTCAGTGATAAGCACTTTAGCTTTCTCTCTAAACACCATTTGTTCCGTGTTGGCCTCAAGGTCTTCGAGCAAAACCCACCACACCAACCCCTATGCCGGGGAAGACCCGGCCTGGCGGGGCGACAGGGCAGAGACACATAACACTTTCATGGGTCAGTCCAGCGGTGATGATGCTTTTGCGAGAGTACCCCGGGGGGGCTGGCAGGAGGAGAGCTGGAGGGGGAGAGAAAGCATCCCCATGGGCCTCATCTCAACACGCCCTGGGAGCCCTTCATGGCAGCATGGCAACAGTGAGTGGAAGATGTATTTGTGACATTAAGTCTTTGTATAGATTCTGGAGTCTATGCTGTACTGTAACACCGAAAAATCAACAACATTATTTGGTGTCTATTACTTGTTAGGCTGTCAGTTGGCTCCATGGTTTTGGTATGTGCCCTCATGTGTTGCTAAGTGACACTGTTGATCCTTGTTTTCTATTCCCTCCTCACTTTTTTTTGCTCAGATCACAGTACATTTCAAATCAACCCTGACTCTCAATATGACCGATCACCGTCTGTTCGATTTCCTCCTCCAGCGTCAGGTAATGGTTAAATTAATCTTACTCCACTAATAAAAGCTTCTTCTGACAGTCATAGTCTCTTAAAGTTACTGTAAGCTCGCACACTGTTGCTATGGTGTTGCTAAGTACACCACAAAGTTGTAAAATGCATTACAAGACAATCATTTAAAATACGTGACTTTAATGTTGACCTGTTGACAGTGATTATCAAACAATTTAGACAGTCCAACTGGGTAATTATTAATGGCGGCTGCACAACAACAAATGAACATGAAGAGAAGGAAGTAGGCAAAGAAAATAAAATGGAGGAATGAGAATTGAAATGTTATCTTGATCTGAGAGGACATGATCTAAGGGTTGTGTTCATGCATCTGTAAAAAGGAAAAAGAAATCTGAGTGGATATGTATTACTCTCACACATTCATAACTGCATTCTGTCCTTTGTGCTGCAGCTAAAACTAAATCTCCAGAGAATTACGGACCATTTCTGAAGATTTCAGATTAAATTTCATTTTTAAACATGCTAGCAGCACGGCTGCAGTGTCAATCTGTCAACCTGTCGATCGACCCACCACTTTGTTCCACACTGATATATCTAAACGACAACAATTGGATGGGTTGCCATGGAATTTATATTCATGGTCCAAACAGAATGAAGCCTAATGACTTGATCCCCTGACTATTCTCTTTTCCATTTGTGGTTTTGAGTTACAGTAATTGTATAAACAACTACTGGATGGATTGTTACAAAATTAGTTTCATCGCTCGGCATGAACTGTAATAACAGATGATGCCTTCACTTTTCACATTGCTCCATCGTCATATCAAAATTTGAATTTGTCCAGTTTGATTTATGGTCAAATATGTGTAAAACTAAAAGCATTCCCATCAGCCACAGTCTTACCTTGTGTTGTCATTGTATAGCCACACAGAGATGATAGTATGGCTGTAGACTCTTCACCTTGTTAAAATACAACTTAACTACAATGTAATTTGGAGGCTGTCAAACTGAGTAGCAACATTCACAGTAGTGACACAGTTGGCACAGTAGTCGCTGACAGTGTGATGGATTGCGGCACCAGCAGCTACATAGTTTTAATGAGAGGTAAAGAAAATCTAAAGACAGTGGTATAATAGCACCCACATTATCTCAAACTGCATATTGCACTGCTATCAGCTGTAATTTCAATCTTTGTATTGTAGGTAAAACACATTTTCAAAGGTATATGCAGTTGCTCAGGAAAATATAAAGAGAAGGAAGTAACAAAAAAAAGCACGTCTTTAATGGAAGAGTAAATGTTGAGATTTGTTATGTTTAATCACATCCAGGTCACATGACAATGCGATGGAGGGGAATGACAAGAAGAAGGATGAGCATGTTTCCTAACACTGATCTTGCTCATCTAGCGTTGACAGAGGATGCCATCAGGAACGAGATGGAGAATGGTAAGAGCCTGTGACTCGCGTCGGGTTATTTCATGTGGATTCTGGATGGTAGCTGTAGTATGTAAAGTCAACAGGGAGATCTTGTCATATCATCTTGTGTGTGACAGAGGAACAGGACCTGGTCAAAGAGTTTGTTGCCCTGTCAACGCGAGACCGAATCCGGGCTATTCGGGACCTTCCAATGAGCTTTGAGGAAAAGAAGCACATCAGGTGAGTCACAAGCAGTCAAAGGTGATAAACTTCCTTGTCAGTGTCACTGTAGGGACAAAGTTAAACATTAGCCCTTACAAAGAACTATAAAATAAGGGCTCTGCATGCACTAGAGGAAGAGTTGCATATATTAGAGAAAACATGCACGTAAACACACTACTCTCTAGTTTCAAGTGACAGCCAACAAGAAGTTTAAAGGTCAAGGGTTTTCTGCAGACTACAGCATTGTGTCAGTGTGGCAGATCTTGTACTTTTCATACCAAATTAGCTTCTAAATTATTTTCGCAGGAGCCAAGTACTGGCATTCAGGTCCTCCAAGCAATCTCGCCAGTTCACATGTTTTGCAGATTGCTCTGAGAATGTGTCACTGGTGAGTGTTCCTTCAAACAATATGCTGCAACATCATACTTCAACAACTCATTTAGCCACGTGAAGCATAATCCGAGCTTCTTTGTCGTACACGTCATAGGCTGTTGTCTCAGTTTTTCCGCAGGTGCGGCTACAGTATAAGGTCGGCCCGGCAGACTCTGGAACTGTGGCAAGGCATCATGAAAGAGATCGGTGGCAAGTTTGGCACCAGTGTCCTCTCCTACTTCGTGTTCCTCAAGTGGCTCCTCATGTTCAACATTTTCTCCTTCCTGGTCAACTTTGGCTTTATCACCATCCCGCTGCTTGTTTACGACCCCTTACCCAACATTCCTCCGAATGTGAGCTTCAGAGGACTGGAGATACTGACTGGAGCTGTAAGTGGAGGCTCTTATCAAACCCACAACATACTTGTAAAGCCACAGCTGTTCAAATGATACCTCATTTCTAATGGTTGCATTTATTTTATTTACTTATTTTTTCACATAAAAGGTGGCAACCCTACTGCCGGCACAAGACAGCAGACAAAGTTAACGACCGGCTAATCAATCAGTCGCACACTTTGTCTCTTGGAGCATTTAGCAGCTAAAGAGGCAAATATTTCACACAGGAGTTGGTGGAGACCAAAACTGTGCTTAAAGGAGAGTGAATGAGAAGGTCGATACATAACAGGCTGCTTCACTTATTTAATACTTCATTCACCTTGAGTTCCTCCCTCTGTAGTGAGTGGATGATGGCGGCATGACTGTCCACTGTGTATTAAATGTGTTTTGGTTTCTCCAGGGTTACTTCAACCATACTGTCATGTACTATGGTGGCTACAGCAATGAAACGCTTGTGGGTCTAGTGGAGTACAACATGCAGCTGGCTTATTTCTTCACCATTGCAGTTTATATGGTGCTGTGTGGACTTGCACTTATTTTCAGGTCAGTTCAGTCCTCAGTATACCTTCTGGAATAGCTCCGATTAAGAAAATCTGAATTTTCCACACTCTTTTTCTTCTTTGGTTTATAGTAGTTTAATTACTAATACTTTTACTATTACTATTTCTTCCCATGCAGCATGGCAAGGTCATTTAAAACAAATTATGTACTAGCAGAATCAACTTCGAACGGTGCATGGCAGCTTCTGTGCAGCTGGGATTTTAGTATAACCAATGAGAGAGCAGTGAGACAGCGCAAGAGCAACCTCCGTGTCCAACTCAAGGTGACTACATTGTATTTCCAATCTATTGCTGTCAATTAAGCAGCAAGTCAAGAAACACATAGGAGGTCTTCAGTTCAGACATGTCATAAAATACACAATGTACACATTTTAGAAATTGACTGCAGCTGCAAATGATAATCTTCAAAATGAGCCTTCAGGTCTGTCTCAGACAGCTAACTTTATGAGATGAATTCCTTTTTTTGCAGACACATCACGTGTCTCATTATTTTTCATCACCATGTTTGTCGTCTTGCCATCTTCCCAGGAGTCTTTGTCAGAAAAGGCCCAGATGGAGCTGCTAACCCTCTCTGAAAAACTGAAGCACTTCGGGGTTCATTTGGGTTCCTGGCTTCTCTCCACTGGCTTAGCTGTTGGCTGTGGAGCCAGCATCTACTATCTCTGCCAATATGAACAGCAGGTACACTAGTCGAGATTGAATAATTAGTCTTATTGTTAAATTGGAATAAAAGATTTTTTTTTCTCTAAAAAAATCTAAATACTTTATGGCATAGAATAGTATTTGGCCTTTAAAGTCCATATCAGCATCGTAACCTTACGACTTACTGACAGTCATGTGTGAAGTCATTTACCGGCAGCACAGATTGATTCATGTCATTACACGCAGCGTTCGCCATCAAGCGCTATCTTGATCTGACCTCCATCTGTTATCTTTACAGCGTGCGACTGATGGTGCCAACTGGTCTCCGCTTCAGGAGGCAGAGACTCTCCTGGTTCCCTTTGTGGTGTCGCTGATGAACCTGGTTGTCCCGCTCTTCTATTCCCTCTTCTACAAGTTTGAGCACTACTCCAGCCAGCGGACACAGATCTATGCTCTAGTAGTCAGGTTAGATATCAGACACTGTAGTTTCTGTCAATAAGAGAGCATGCTCACTAATTAACATATCTTATTAATTTAATATGTACAAACAGTGTAAAAAAACAACAACATACATTGCCATGTTACAGGTGGTTATGCACCAGACTATTTCTTGGACTATTTTCCTTGGGCTCTGTAAAACCAGAAATAGTAATTTTTACACTTTCTTTTTTTTTTTTCTTTTTTTTTTTACACATTTTTGTACAGATTAAACAAACTAGATGTGATGTGTTAATCAGTGAGATGAAGGGGTTCTGGTACAGAAGGTGGAATATGTTACCTTCAGGGAGAGTGTTGTTTCCTCCTGTTTTCACTGTTTATGCTTGCTAAGATAACTGGCTTCTGGCTCCAGCCTCATATTTAGTGCACACACATGAAAGTGGTATCGATCTTCTCATCCATCTCTCGGCAAGGAAACAAATGAGCGTGCTTCCCAAAATGTTAAACTGTTGGACCGTATATAAAGCCTGAAATCTGTCTTTCTCTTCTCCCACTTACAGAAATGTCTTACTCAGGATGTCCATTCTGGGTGTCTTGTGTTTTTACTGGATGAACGTGGTGGCTAAGAAGTTTTCGGTACGTTCGACATAAAATAACACTTCACTGTCTTTTTAAATCAATGTAAGTTTCACTGTATCACCCATCTAATGTGTTCCCTGCAGTGTTGGGAGTCCAGGGTAGGACAGGCTTTGTACCGTCTGGTCATTGTTGACTTCCTTTTTCTGATGTTGGGATCCTTCTTTGGAGAGTTTCTCAGCAAGTAAGTCACACAAATCATTTATTTATTTTTTTTTTATCATTACCAAATAAAGAATCGAGCAATGTTAACCTCAGATATGAATTATACATCATTATTTCTCTATTACAGCGTGATTGGAACCAGATTACTACCACGTCTGGGGGTTCCAGAGTTCGACATAGCCAGAAATGTCCTCGAACTCATCTATGCACAGACTTTAGCCTGGTAAGAGCAATACATTTAATCCTTGTTATTCAAGTAATTGGACACATTATCTAGTGGCACAATGGTATTGTGATTGATACTCATGTTTTCTCACCTGGTTGAAGTGCCAATTTCCTATTAAAAGTTGTTGTGCCCTCTCTTTTCTCTCCACAGGATTGGAATCTACTTCTCTCCTCTGCTGCCTGCCATCCAGATTGTCAAGTTTTTCATCTTGTTTTACCTAAAGAAGGTAATCGCAGGTCCACAAGGTTTGGGATCCTTGTAAACTGAACTGCCATGATGACACACTGCCATCAACAGAAACAATGCCATCGCCGCCTGAGCAGCTCTGTTCTTTTTAACAGCTCATGTTACTTCATTTGTGCACCTGGGTCAATAATTAATTTCAATCCTTTTGTCATATTGACTTTGTGCTTTATTTTGTGTTGTGGAAAAGACAGGCAGGTAAACCTTTTAGTTGCAAGCAAGATCAAGATCAATCAGTCCGAGAAAAGTAAATGACTTCAATACAAGTGGTAATTTGACCCAGGCCAGATCTGGTGTTGCTGAATGTTTCATGAACATGCCGAATGACCTTTCAAGCAATGCTGTTCAAAAGCTCTGATGAGATGCTCGCGTGGTTCTATTATGTAGTGAAAGAGAAATGTTGTCTTGGTTGGAATGAGCTCATAGTTTCTTGTTTTCGCGCTTCCCCAGGTCAGCCTGACCCAGAACTGCCAGCCTCCGCGGCGAACAGGCAGGGCAGCTCAGATGCACACAACCTTCATCGCTCTCCTCTTCTTCCCTTTCTTCGTGGGAGCCTTGTCCATGGTTGCATACACTTCCTGGAGGTATGAGGACGTGACCCATTTTGACTAAAAATCCATTATCTCACATTAAAATCTTAAAGTCAGAGAAAAGTATTTTTATAAGATCATTTTCTTCTGAAAAAAATCCTAAGAAAACCTCAGTAATACCAGTCTTTGACACATGCCCACTCTGTCCCGCTATCTAGTCTGACTCCCTCAGAGCAGTGTGGTCCTTTTCGGGGACTCAACAACACCTTCAGTGTGGTTGGAGTCTGGATAGACGACCTGGAGGAGATCCCCGGGTCTCAGTGGGTTGTCTGGATCTACCAACACGTCATCAGGAGTGAACTCTTCTATTTTCTCATCACACTCATCATCCTGTGAGTGCATAGTGCAAGGGCTGTGTTTTGTGTGCACTACACGTGCTGTATTTTAAATTGTGTGAATCACATTTTGCACATTTTTCCAAGTATTATGAATCTGCAGATAAGGCATAAGAGGAAAATCAAACACTAAAGACAAAGCACAGCTGAGGCTGGTGGGAATGGCATTAGTTCTGCAGGTGTTTGATGGTAAAACCAAGGAATCACCAAATCAAATCCTTTAGGATTCATCCTCTTGGGACCATGAATATCTAAACAAAATTCATCCATTAAATCCATCAAATAAATAATTTATTTATACACAAGTAATTATTCATATGATAAGATCATTTATCTATTCTGTATTTAAGAAGTCATACTAAGAATCTAATTTAATGAGGCAATTATGTCAACACAATGGACTATGAAGTGTGTTGTGCATGTAATAGACCTGTCATATAACCTGCCATGTCCAAAGCACTTAACCTTTCAGATCACTGAATTTAAAGACAGGCTTGTAAGGACATTAAGCAGTTGGCACATCAGAGAATCAGTCACGCAGGGCGACCATGGTGCTCTGCGCAGCAACATGAAAACATCACACTACACAGTCACAGTGTTGTGGTTCATTTATTGGCATTAATTTGACTATCATAGACAAATAGAGACCAGGACACTGTGTGCATAAAGCGTGTGTTTTTGTATGTATTCATGTCCATTTTTGCATCTTGGTGTCATAATGCAAACGGATTTCTGTGATATTAAAATTAAAGTGTCTGTTGCTTTTTGTTATCTGGTTATGTTATTATTACGAAGGGTCATCATGTACATCTTCTGGCAAGTCACTCAAGGCCGCAAGGATCTTATTGGTCTCCTGAGACAACAGATTGTTAATGTGAGTGTTTGAAAAATGTCCTTTAAGTATGTATTTTATAGACTTCGTTTTGTTCCCCTTTGGGAACAAGTACACAACCTTGGGTGTACTTTTTTAGTAAAGTCTGTCTTCTGTTTTTCTCTTTTTCTTTTTCTCTCACCAGGAGGGGAAAGACAAGTCCTTCTTGCTGGACAAGCTCCAGAACTTCCAGAAATCTCATCCTAATAAAAAACCCAAACCCAAGAATCCAAAGAAGGTTTGTTGTGAAATTTGTTTCATGCTAACTCATTGCCTTTCAACCTCAGATTTGCAACCTCACTGAAGATTTTCTCCTGTCCTCCAGCACACCAAACGGCGTTCGGATGACCACTCTTCAGGCAGTCAGTCCAACTCAAACGCCATGGTTCAGGCTTTACTTGCTCGCCAGCGGCTCGAGGAGGAAGAAGAAAGACGGAGAGCTGGCGGAGTGCTGGTTCCCTCCGACATCTCCACTTCCAGCGCTATGATGCAGGCCATGTTGGCCCGTCAGAGAGCTGAAGACCAGGAGGAAGATTTGCACCAGATGCCTGATAAACACCCGTCGTCCTCCAGCGCCCTCACACAGGCCATGCAAGCCAGGCAGAGGGCAGAGGGTCAAGATGAATACTACAGCACGGCAGGTTTTTCAGAAGACCCTGTCAACGGATCCAGTGCTGTCATTCAAGCGATGAAAGCCAGACAAAGATCAGAGGAAGATGGAGCTGATGATAGAGATGACCCGGCATCCTCTGTGTCGAGTGTTATGATGCAAGTCATGCAAGCCAGACAGAGAGCAGAGGAAGAGGACAGGATTCAGTGGGTCCCTGCTCCCCCACAAAACCTAGCTCCCTCAGGCTCCAGTGCTCTCATTCAGGCCATGTTGGCCCGGCAGCAGGCCCAGAACGAGTACGATGACGGTTACTGAACAAAGGGCTGACTTTATCTCACCATGGGGACGGGAACGGAGCAGACGAGAATAACAGAATGGATTTCTTTAAGATGGCTAAGACTAGTCTTGTTTTGTTATGATTTTGCATCAGTTGAAATGGAATGATTCCTCCAGAATTGAGACACATTCAATCTTCCTGTTTACGCAAAAGAACAAAGATAGCTACTGTAGTTGGGCTATGAGAGATTGCAGGTCTACCTCTTTAGTCACATTTTTATAAATATAATTTAATAGTAATAGTTTAATAGTATTTAATAGTATATTTCTATGTCAGTATATAAGCCTTGTATGACAAATAAATACCATAACATATACTCAATAGGCCTGATCTTGTGCCATTTCTAATGTAATTTCTGTATCATAAACATAAGTTGTTAAAACTGTAAATATTCTCTGAGAAATGTAGATGAACACCTGATACAGAGAAGGATAGGCAAAAATAGATTCATTACTGTCCCCTGTATATTACATTGTAGGAAATGGCATTGTAAATCAAAATATTAATGCCAAAATAAACCAGTGACACAAGCAACATTACATTGACATTCATGGAGTTAAATGTAATTTTGCAAACATGGTGTGTTTAGACAACACTGCCCTCTGTAGGGATTATGCAAACTGTGAAATACCACAGATCAGATGGTGAGTTTTTTGGCCAGTGGTTATTCAGTCGTATTAAAGATCCTCCCCAGACACGTTTTAAGATATAAAGATCACTCTACTGTCAATGAATGACATGTGTCTGATATTTTTTGTCTGCATCTTTCAGTTCAATTCTGAGGTAATTAACTTCAATATTTTAATATTGTGCTACTTGTACTCCGCTACATTTACACTGATAGCCCTAGTTACTGTTACTTTACTGATTCAAAAATTTAAACACTTATTCTGAGTATATACGATCTGATGCATTGTTATACTGTATACCTGATAGCAAATAAAATAAGTGGAATCAGCGCCCTTTGGTCATCTACAACATTAAAATGCTGCTTGAATAATATGATGCTGTAATTCAAATTATTTTCAGTGTGGTATATGGGTACTTTTTCTTTTGTACTTAAAGTAAATTTGGCAGTTTTACATGTGTACAGTTTTAAATGCAAGAGGGAGTGTTGTACTGAGTGGTTTTGCTACTTTAACCTAAGGAAATCTGAATTCTTCTTCCACCACTGGCACACAGACACACACACACACACACACACACACACCCAGCCTGGAGAGCCTGGAGATCAGCTTTTGAAGTAACAAAAAAACAAAACACATTTTTGACTCTGACTTTAATATCCACCATTTTTGTCTCAAACACATTTTCATGGCATTGAGTATTTATTTTCCTTCAACCGAATCAAAAACATTAAATGAAAATTACATGTTATAGTGGAAATGTGTGATAGTACACTTACTGTTGATCACTCTAATCATGCCATTACGGGTGTTCATATGAACCTTCATGCTACAACAGTCTGTGTTATACGTCTCATTAATGCAGGTTTGTTGCAGATGCTCATATGGAGTTTGTGACACAATAAAAGTAACCGAAGTGAACATCCAAAAGTAAAATAATACACAATTTTTCCACAACCATTCTTTGTACAAGCATACTGCACAATTGCACTCCACAAACCTATTTACAATTTATATACTGTATCTAGGCACATCATTTGCAGTAAGTATCTGTGGCTTTATTTCACATTTAATGAACACCACTTAAACTGTCACCTTGTCTTTGTGTTTAGAAAAATTATTTGCATCAATTTATTGATTGACTGAACCATGTTTAATAAGGCTATTAACATCTGAGAGACCCTCACTATATTTATAAGGGCATTCTGAACATCTACATCATGGTCAGATACACAAACAGAGAAAACACCTTCATCCATGAGATTACATCATGTCCACTTTTTCCGGTTCCCAGCTGAATTGCCCAACTTTTTTGAATCTCTCTGACCTGTTTATTCATTTATGAATTAAGGCAGTGTTGAAATATATCAGATGGAGCTAATGATCCTCTGGGGAATTCGTGTCTGTCCAACAAGCTGCCACACTGAGAGAAATGCCACCGCCTACTGTCCCATCCCATTCAGCACTGCTCTTCCCCTAAAGATGCTGCAATGTCACTCAGGTCCAGAGAGTCAGCAGGTATGGGAGTTTTCCTGCCGCTCCTCAGGGTCTGGCTTGAATAAACCTCCACAGATTTAGAGATGGAGTGCACGGAGCGTTCTCGGAAATATCCGAAAGCCTCCCTCGCGTGCTCCTCGCGGATGCTTTGCTCGAAGGTCTTGCGCTTGTGCCTGAACTCGATGACGGTCTTGGTGTACGAGTTGAGGGTAGTGACTGATGCGCCCATGCAGCAGGTGAAGGACGCCCAGGCCATGCTGATATGAACAGAGGAAAAAAATGAGGCAAATCAGCACATGCGGTGATTCAATTGTTGTTGAACTCTGTTGTGATGAAAAACAGGGAAACACTCGTGTAAATCCAAGTTGAATTTTGGCATTTTTCCCCTCAATGTTTTGACACAGTGGTTGGTGAGATTAGAGTCAGTCACTTTAAGTCCCTTTTCCCTCCTCAAAATGCTGGGCCACATGTAAGTTCAGACAATCAAATCTTCATCATCTTATGTACTTTTTACACAGGTTGGTTAATGCTAACAAAAGGTTTAGCCTCTAGAATGAATTTTCAGTATACTCTGCATATTGTAAATGAGTGAAATATTATCCCCTTATGCAATTCCAATCACGCCTGTATCGGGGGCTTTGGACACCAAAGCCTAATCCTACCATAACATGAGAGCTTTGGGCTTTTTTCATTAGAGACAGTGATGTTGGGGAGAGGTGAGAGCAGATCCACAACCGACTATTTGGGGCTGCTACGTGTAGAAAGGAATTCCTCATCTGGTTTCTTGATAGGTGAGTTAACTTTATTTCTAGCGCTTCATATGACATTCCTGAACTAAAGCAAAATGAGCATGATCTGATCTGTTCTGTCATACCAGAAGGACCAGCCGTAGTCCCAGTTGTAGGGCCTCCAGTCAGGCGGACCCAGGCTGACGGTGACCTGAAAGACCTGTGTGTACATCACATGAGCCACCATACCCAGAAGACCTGAAATCGTACCGACAGTATATGGTTAGTTAGCTTGCTGCATGACGTAAAGTTCAAAAACAAAATATGCACAAGAATTCTGCAGAACTAGGCTGATTTGCTTCCACGCCAACAGACACAAATGTGGATATGCAGTGTATAAACTCACTGAAATAACCTCAATTCCCCATTCAAATAGTTTACACTTTCATTCTTAAATGTTCTGAACTTTTTTGTTTTGGACAAGATCTACAAAACAAATGTCAAGTGTCTTTAATTCCAGAGGGACTCTCTGTGCTTTCATCTCAACAGCCACTGAAAAAAACTAACTACATTTCTTCACCTTATGGCTTGTCACCATGACTCACTCTGTTATTCCCACGTCATAGATTTTCAATTTAGTTTGGATTTATTGCTGATCGTCAAAGTACAACTGAAGATGTGGCTCCTTGGTTTGAGACAGAATGCAATTCTCAGTGAGCTCTCACTTCATCTTCTAAATTAATTCTAAAACCAAATGACGGTGGTTTTGTTCCCTTTCCCTTCTTCTCATGAGGTGGGGTATAATATGTTATGCTGTATGTGGCAGAGTCTTTTATCAAACCGCATAACCAGCTGTGGAAAATGGGATCACAAACACTTGAATATATAGTATATGGTGCATTACAGACAATAAAAACAAACATTTTCATTAATAACAAATAAAAGCAGACTACCTGAGAGCACAGTGAAGACGGCAGCGAAGGCGTTGAGCTTGAGTCCATCAATGACGTTGCTGGAGTGGACCAGCTCCAAACACATGAGGCTGAAGCCCACCACCAGCAGAACAATGTACAACATCTCAGAAACCAGTGACAGCCACAGCATCCCTGCACAATAGGGACATTTAATTGTGATAACACTATATTAACTCAAACATAGAAGGTCCCATATTTTACACTTGTTCTATGTTTTATTTGAAGAATTGACCCATAAGAAGATATAATATTCTGATTGGCTGACTGTTTTCTGAGTGATCAAATAAAAATATATATAGATAAAAATATATATAGATCTCAGAGAAACCAATCCTGCAAGGTTTTTCTGGACAGTGGGATCAAGTAGGCTGGGCTCGGGGGATGGTTGAGGGTGGCGACTGCTTTGTTATGACATCACAAAGTTACAGAAGTCCTGACGGCTCGTTTTGAGGCTCTGTTTCTGAATATAGTCTGTGTGGATTTCTCTGTGGACTAAGGGCCTTGACACTTTGACAGTTTTAATACAACACCTAGACCTGCTTTATGACAACAAAAAGACTTTATACAATATGGGAAAACAACTCCAGTCAGCCCAATTGGTCTTAAGTTTGTATATTCAATATTAGGCTTATAACAGACACCAATATGATTTATCTGACATCTCAGTGGTTCCTAATCCAGTTAATATCTCCTGGTCACATTTCCAACATGAAAGAGGCTGAATTTCAGCTGAGCCTTCCAGCTTTATCCAAGCCTTACTCAGTTCCCCAGTGAATCAAGCCAACTGTAATCTGGCAACACAAAAATATCTCTGCCTCTCCTTCGCTCTTGTTTTTCAGTCATTCTGACACTTCACAGATTGGCAGGAAATGAGCATTTCCAAAAGGACAGTGTCAACACAGCTGAAAATCCTAAAACACAAATGTGTGTCCCTGTCGCTCGATATTAAAGGATAATTCCAAAACTAAAGGTGAAATACTTGCTGATTTGAGAATTTGGGAAGCGACAGACTAAAAAATGATACTGAGGAAGTATTTACAGTGTATCACAATGATTTTAGTTCACGTTTGATATCGTGACTACATCAAAAGAAATTATTCAGAACATGTGTACAGCATTTAAGGCTTTAGAGACTGTTCTGCCTTGCTATAAATAATCATGTTGAAGATCAGAAATTTCAAAGGGATGATAAATTTATTTGGAAAGAAAAAGATGAAAAAGATTTCACTTCTTTGCTCCGAGTATGTGGCACGTCAGTGAGGATGCTTTGATAACATATTAAACCCTATTTATAGTGCAAAGTCTTCTTTCTTGCTGATATAACTGACAATATTACATATGGAAAGTAGTTTGCATTGCACCACTTATTGTGTGTTTCCTGTGAAGATTTACCAGACAGCCGACATTTTAGCATGTGAACATTAAATTCCACTACACAGATAATAAATGTTCCGTGAGAGTCCTCAGTGGGCTTTTGAAGAACTTGTTTATTATGGATAGACCTGCTGATGGTGAGCACTGGACACTCACCTTTCTCTGATGCAGGAGCCAAATCAATGAAACTTCGGCATCTCTCACCTACGGCACAAACACAAAATATTGTCATGACTTAGCACAGCATATTAGCAGTGGCATCTTCAACCAGCACTTTATGTTGGATTCTCTGTGCGGCTGGTTAGAAATAAGTGAGCCAGGTCCTGTCACAAAGGTTCGGCAGAGGAGGACATGTGAACATGGAGGAGGACATGTTACAAAGGTCAGAGGGAACCAGTCTAGGATTAACAAACAAAACCGAATAAAGAAATGCTCTCGGTGCTGTACTGATACAGGCTTCAGTCCGAGTCCTAATCTGCCTTTAATTCACAATTTCTGTCCAGGTGTGTTTGACAGGATCAGCTCATACAGTCTGTGACCTACCAGGTGAATCTGGGCAACATTAAAAAAAAGAGTTTGTAAGTTCAATGAATAAAAAGAATGTTAAATAAGAGGCATATGTCATAAATCCAGCTTTTTGAGCTTCTGATTCAATGTCACCAGATGCTGTGCTGGCTAGGCCGCTCAACATCTGTCTCTGGTCCAGTTGAATTACAGGTACATGCATAGAATGATGAGACAATAGAAAATAGATATCATTCTGTATGAAAATAATAATAATAAAAT